TGCATGTGTGTGTGTGTGTGTGTGTGTGTGTGTGTGTGTGTGTGTGTGTGTGTGTGTGTGTGTGTGTGTGTGTGTGTGTGTGTGTGTGTGTGTGTGTGTGTTTGAGCAGTGCTTATAGTCCATGAATCAGTCCTTGAGCAGCCGTGTGAGTGTAATCAGTCAGGATCTAGAACATGTGTGTGACAGAGTGCATGTATGAAGTTGTAGTCCATGAGTTGTAGTTTGTGTAAATGTGGATGTTTCCAGCGACCTCTGGTGGTCAGATCGCTGGTGATCATGACACTGCTAAACTCTCAATCGACACCACGCTGTCAGTAAACACAGAGCAGCTTCAGCGGTCTTCATTCTGCCATGGTGTATAAGCTCATTACCTTATTTAATGATCAGTAAACTGGAGTCTTTATTCAGTGTAAGATCTGCTCAAACCAGAGGAACATCTGTGCAGTCCTGAAAGAGCCGAATATCCACCACTGATCTTCCCTCTGAGTTTATTTCTCTGTTATTCGTGAAGAATCTGCAAATGCTCATGTGAGTTATCTACAATAGTATGTAAGGCAGGGGTCACCAATCTTGGTCCTGGAGGGCCGGTTTTCTCAACACACCTGCCTGAGTGTTTGAAGTCTCCCTAGTAAGAGCTCGATCAGCTTGTTCAGGTGTGTTTGATCAGGGTTGGAGCTCAGATCTGCTGGACACCGGCCCTCCAGCAACACGTTTGGTGACCCCTGATGTAAGCTGATGTTTTCTGTCTCAGTAAATTAGATAATATGAGGCTTCCTTTAAGAAACACGTGGATCTAACTGGGTTTGCAGTGTAAACATTAAATACAGGTTACAGGGTTGCTGTGTGTTACCTTTTATTAATGTTTCTATGTAAAAGTAGTGAATCAGAGCCCTGATCTGTGACTGTCTGGGCTGTAGCGCTGTGTTTCCCGCATCACTGCTCACACCATCACTCATACAGCACAGATATGCTGACTCCAGATTACATCAGTGTGCTGCTTACACAGATGAGCAGAAGGTTTAAAAGAGCCGCATTTATTGTAGACAGAAGCATATGAACATCAGTATTTGATCAGTTAAAACACAATCACTCTGAGCTGAACCTGTGAGCGGCAGAATAGAAAAGCCACTCCTAGAGTAGTGCTGGATGAGGAGATCCCCCAAACATGTGTGAAGCGCTTTGAGTGTCCAGAAAAGAGCTGTATAAGAGTCAGGAATTATTCATGATTATGATTATTTATTATTATTATTATCTGGCCACTCCATCAGCCCTGGCTGCCGGCTGGAGAACAGCTCTGCGCCACTGCTGCCCGGAACACTGGTGCCCGGAGCGCCCGCTGTCTCCTCATGAAGGCGGTGTACCAGTCTGCGCTGGCCTGTTTATTCTCCCTCCAGCCGGGCGGCGTCTGCAGCTGTACTCCTCTGCCATGTACTTACTGTGAGGCAAACATGTTACCCAGTACGCCACCGCATCACCAGTTCTGCACACTACACCAGACGAAGCACTTATACATAACACAAAACCTCATCCTGCAATGATGCACACCATCAGAAAACACAACCAAACCCTCGCAGAACTAATCCATGGAAATGACTGCTTCTGTGGGTCTCTGCAATACTTCATAATACTTCATTCAATTAAGCCAACAAGGTTTTTTTTAAATAGTCACAATCACAGTTTTACTACAATTACCATGGTTAAACTGTGGCAAAACAATGGTTATTGGTCATTGTAGTTAGGCAAGATGTACTACACTGCTGAATATATGTGTGTGTTTCTTACTTTGAGGTTTGTCTTGATTTTTTCCAAATATATAAAAAGTATTAAAACCAAAAAGCATTTTGAGGAATATATATATATATATTTAATTTAACTTCATTCATTCATTCATTCATTCGTTTTTTTGTCGGCTTAGTCCCTTTATTAATCCGGGGTCGTCACAGCGGAATGAACCGCCAACTTATCCAGCAAGTTTTTAAGCAGCGGATGCCCTTCCAGCTGCAACCCATCTCTGGAAAATATCCACACACACACTCATACACTACGGACAAATTAGCCAACCCAATTCACCTGTACTGTATGTGTTTGGACTGTGGGGGAAACCCGAGCACCAGGAGGAAACCCACACGAAGGCAGGGAGAAAATGCAAACTCCACACAGAAACACCAACTGAGCCGAGGTTCGAACCAGCGACCCAGCAACTTTCTTGCTGTGAGGCAACAGCAGTACCTACTGCACCACTGCCTCACCTTAATTTAACTTTTTTAGTTAGTTTAGTTTAGTTTTTTAGTTGAACTTTTTAAAATTAATTTAACTTATGTAGTTGAATGTTTTTGAGGCATTGGTTTGGATGAGTGAAGAAGCACTGGGCTTTGGTTGAACTCCTCATTTGTGTTCTACAGATGAATGAGACGATGGAGAATAAACTCATCATCTTTATTTGTTTTTCATTTCATTATCACTATTAGTGCAGGTTTACTGATACTGCAGCCGTGTGAGCGATAATTAATGAAGGATCATAAACATGACGAAGGCAGCTCTTCCACATGTTTCTCACTGCTTTACTGAGCTGTGCAAACAGTGGCACACACACACACACACACACACACACACACACACACACACACACACACACACACACACACACAGGCAGTTTGGGTAGAGTTCAATTTGTGAACAGGGACTAAACACAGCATCCTTCCAGACTTACCTGTCATTCCTGCAGAGACCTGTTAGATATTCAGAGATAAAACAAGATGATATATTTTGCTTGTCTAGAAAATTCTTCTTGATTTAGGAATTTTTAGATATTTGGACTAGAAACAAGACAAAAAATCTAAGCAAGAAAAGCATTTTTTGCAGAGCAGGTATGATCTGGCCGTCGCTCATGTCCACTCTTACCGAGAGGAAGGCCTTATGCACATGTTTGCATGATGAAGTGCTGTCCATCTGAGAGCTTACTGTTTACTGCCTCTATTTGGGGAAACTCTATCTGTAAACTGATGCTATATGATGTCTTATCACATCATATAAATACTAATAAGCCAATATCTAAACACCATGTTAATAATTGCTGGCATAGGGGCAGGCGAATCAGAGGCGTTTGATAAGATATCTGTGCAGAGATTGTCTGAAGATGATCCAAGCCAAAATAAAGTCTCCAGAAGGTCAAAAATCTCTATTGTTATACTCCAGACACACACACACACACACACACACACACACACACACACACACACACCACCCTCATCCAGAGGAATGAAGCGCTCGCAGAGCTCCCGACTGTCAACTCCTGTTCCTGGCCCTGATCTCCATCTCAATTCAGTTCATCTTTCTACCCTGTAGATTGTGTCAAAGCAGCTGAACAGAAGATCACAGTGAATTTTATTATTCACTGCCGAGAGTCCAAACACTGAAGAGCAAATCCATCCATGCGCAGCTCCACAAGACCCAAACCAAGCAGGCCAGTGGAGACAGTGGAGGAGCAAACTTCACCAATTGGTGAAAGTGAAGAATTAAAAAACCTGGAGAGAAACCAGGCTCAGTTGAGCACCACCATTTCTCCTCTGGCCAAATGTCTTGTGCAGAGCTGCAGTCTAGGCGCCTGGATCGTGGAGGAGCTGCAGGTGGAAGAGGTCACGGGCGGGTGTTGGCCCTTCAGGATTAATGTGAGGACTCATCTGTCACTGGGGTCCTACAGGAATCAGTCTCATGCTGTCCACTGCTCCATGACCACCACCAGGATACGGCCTGGTCCAGGATTATGGAGACCTCGGGAATAAAGACAAGCAGACTAGCATAAGCACAGATGCTGTTCACATTATAATGTCTTTAGGGAAGTGTTCCTGGCTCCAGTTGCTCTAAATAATGCAGACTAACAATCCTTTAGAGAGAATCCTTCAACAGCATATGTGTGTTGTGTGTATGCTAATGCAGAGAGATGTGTCTTTAATCTAGTTTTACAGTGACAGAGTGTGTCTGCTTCCCCAACTGTGCTATGAAGGCGGTTCCAGAGTTTAGGTGCCAGATAAGAGAAAGCTCTACCGCCCACAGTTGATCTTGATATTCTGGGAATAATCTGTATCATCTGAGACTGGAGGTCCTGCGCTCCCTCTCTCATAATGTGTTTGGTATCCTCTTTTATTAAAGCAGATCTGCATGCTCATGTGTTGTGGAGTGTATTTCTGCACCTGTCACTGCTGTATGCGTGTGAAAGTCCAGCAATCACAGATCATTACCGCACCTCTCTGGATATCTCCAGATAAACATTCCCTCTCTCCTACAAATGCTTATCTGTGGAGCAGGGCTTTAGTGTTCCACATGTGCAAAAACAACAAACTCCTGATGTGGTTTACACCCTCGGGTAATTCAGCGGGACTCCAGACATCTTTACTGAGCCTGAAGTAAGGAACAAGGACAAAATCCCCAAACTGAACACAATCCATATCTCTCCAAAAGAAACCCCCATAGCCGGCAGCTCGCTCTCTGCAACTCTCACATGGTCGCCCACTGAAGCTAAGCAGGGCTGCACCCGTTCACTACCTGGATGGGAGACCACATGGGAAAGCTAGTTTGCTGCCGGAAGTGGTGTTAGTGAGGTCAGCAGGGGGCGCCCAACCTGCGGTCTGTGTGGGTCCTAATGCCCCAGTATAGTGATGGGGACTCTATACTGCTCAGTAAGCACTGTCATTTGGATGAGACGTTAAACCGAGGTCCTGACTCTCTGTGGTCGTTAAATATCCCAGGATGTCCTTCGAAAAAGAGTAGGAGATTAACCCTGACATCCTGGCCAAATCTGCCCACTGGCCTCTGTCCATCATGGCCTCCTAACCCTCCCCATATCAGACTTGGCTTCATCACTCTGTCTCCTCTCCACCAATCAGCTGCTGTGTCGTGTGCGGTCTGGTACAAAATAGCTGCCGTCATGTCATCCAGGTAGATGCTGCACACTGGTAGTGAATGAGATGATTCCCTGCTATGTGTAAAGCGAATTATTATTATTATTAAAGAAGTGTAGCTCAAATGAAGTGACGGAATGAAAAGAGAAATGTTTGAATGTAAAGTAAAGCTTGTCCGGAGGACAGATACCGGTGTACGGTGTACTCTCTGTTGTCTACATGGAGGGGTGGCTGCCGTCTGCGAGCGGACAGAGAAATCTCTGACAAAACCCACCATGATGGGAGGAGCGGGTAGAGCGAGGGAATGAGGCTCGAACCGGGGTCACTGACCAGAAGAGCCATCGCTGCTTGAGGACCAAGTGGCAGTGTGTTTGGGAAACTGGACCTGTCTTCTGTCCAACAACCATTTAGACAAAAGCTGACAGTAACATAGGCAATGAGAAAAGAAGAACAATAAGTAAGAATACAAAACTGAGGGATAAAGAAATAATGATTAACAAAATTATACCACTAATACTTGTGTGTGGGAGGAGGAGACTAACACCTTTACCTGATACCTATAAAAAGGGCGACAAGACAAAAGAAGGTCTCTGGTTTGAGTCTCGGCTGGGTCAGTTGGTGTTTCTGTGTGGAGTTTGCATGTTCTCCCCGTGTTGGTGTGGGTTTCCTCCGCGTACTCCGGTTTCCCCCACAGTCCAAACACATGCGCTATAGGGGAACTGATCAACTGGGTCTTTCCTCATGTTGCCTCGGTCACTCTCTAAGACTCCGCCATGATTCTTTCATCATCCTGAGGGTCACATGATCTTGGATTCGGCCTGCATCCAGAGAGGAGAGAGATGTCAGAGATGGTCAGAGAGGATGTCCAAGAGTCAAGAGCTTAAGTTTCTCCTCTCACCTTCACCGTGATGGACACTCGGTAGTGTTCAGACGTCTTGAAGATCTGCCTCTTTTAAGTTTGGCCAGAGGAGAGCTGGTCTCTCCTTCTGTCTCTTGTTGAAGGAGTATTCTGTCATCTCTGGCTTGTTTAGTAGAAGCAGGTAAAGCCGCTCTACAGTCAACCCAGAGCCAATCCTCCCTAAACACAGATTATTTATGACAGAATGAAGCCGATGCCATCAGAAATGTTATAAAGACAGGAGCACTACAGTAAATAACACTGTTGTCTAGGCTCAGTGATTGTGAAACCCTTTCCATATGCAAACTCAGATCAGTCAAATCACGTAACCGATGTGACTTTTGAACACACTGTGTTGATAAAGAGACGCAGCTCCCTGAATGACTTCTGTACACGCGATCTGAGCAGTGAAAACACACTTCCAGACTGAACTGATGGTGTGCAAAAACAGCCAAATAGTCATGAAAATATGAAATATGTCAGTCTTGGGATGTTTTATCTTAATTAAGTGTGAAAGGAGTTTAATGTCCACAAATGCGTGGTCTATTAGAGAGATCTGTGCATTGCCTCTCACAGTGTGTTATTCAATGTTAATCAAGCAACACATTAGAGAATCAGAAGAGAATCAGAGACTCATTCACGGCTCTTCAACTATCTGTTCAGGTATTCACTAACTGATCTCAGTGGGGGAAAGTCGAAATCACATTTTAGGTTAACAGGAAGTGTCTGTCATGGATTTTTTTAACACTCGGTCATGGACCCCCTCTTAGAGCTGCTTAGGACCCCAAGAAGTCAAGTATTGACTCTGAGTAAATCACATCCTTCAGCATTAACATCCACAGTGAACTGAATCAACAGAACTGAACATGCTCATGGTCTCGAGGCTTCAGAAGCGTGTGAATCACAGCAGAGCGAGGTGTATCTGGGGATTATGTGTTGAGTTCGGAGCGAGGTGAGTGCTGACTCTCTCTCTGTTGTGTGTGTGTGTGTGTGTGTGTGTACAGAGGTTGAACACACCCATGTTTGCGTGCTCCTCTCTGGTTAATGTGTAATCTCAGCGCAGAATAAAGCCGATGCTCCGCCACCGCTGTTGCCCGTCTGAGCTTCATCATCTTCAGCATGTTCTTCTCGGCAGAAACATGGACTCTGCTGGCGTTCTTGGTGGCGCTGCTGGTCATGTAAGTGACCACACACACACACACACACACACACACACACCTCTTCATAACCTCTGTCTAAAGCCTCTGATGTTCTTTCAGATATGGATCCTGGCCTCATAGGTACTTCAAGAAGCTGGGCATCCCGGGGCCCAAAACCATCCCATTCTTCGGCACCATGCTGAGATACAAGGATGTGAGTTAAGTGTTTCTAAGATGATCTCTCGAATGCTCCTCAGTTATCCTGAATCTTCTGGTCTCTTGAACATCCACTCACTCTAACAAATGCAGAAACTCTGTCACGCTCCCTCAGCTCATTGCTTTCACAGTCTAAGACTCTGTCCCTCTCTGCTCCTCCAGGGCTTTCATGTCTTCGATATGGATTGTTTTGAGAAGTATGGACGGATCTGGGGGTAAGTCAATACTTCACTAAGCATTCATACTCTACTGCACTCTTCAGATTCTGGGACATTACTAAACTGCTATCCATCATCTTCATTCGTGTCTTCACAGTATCTATGACGGGAGGCAGCCTGTTCTGTGCATCATGGACCAAACCATCATCAAAACCGTTCTGATCAAAGAGTGTTACTCCCTCTTCACCAACAGAAGGGTAAATCCTCAGCGCTGCTCTAAACTGTTTGTCAAATATTGATCTCGAATGATGAGACCTCTGCTCTCTTTAGAACTTCCGTCTGAACGGGGCGCTGTACGATGCCGTGTCCATCGCAGAAGATGACGACTGGAGGAGGATCCGCAGCGTCCTCTCACCATCCTTCACCAGCGGAAGGCTGAAGGAGGTCCGTGAGTCTCAAACACTGACAGAACCCCGCTGGCCTGACTATCAGATTATGCTAACCGCACTGCATTTCTGAAGGGTTCTGAGGTTATGGTTTGGGAAAGATCAGGGTCAGCCTCACATCACACTGCTCCACATCTAAACTTCCTCTGGTAGCACAATCTGACGGGTAGCATAGTTCCTCATCAACATCCCTTCCGGGTTATTGAAGGGGTTGTAGCGCAATCTGAAGTGACAGAACACCAGAGTCTCGATGTTTCATTCTCATGCTCGTCTTTAATCGGTAATAAAGCTCTTCTGTTTAGCTATTACGTGTAAGCATTGTATTGTTGAGATTTCGGCTAATGATGGTGCTGAAGGCTGTAACAGTTCAGATGATGATGATGATGATGATGATGATGATTTATTGCTGTTTCTCGTCTAGATGTTTGGCATCATGAAGAAACACAGTCACATTCTGGTTGACAGCATGGGGAAAACAGCAAAGAGAGGAGAGTCTGCGGATATTAAAGAGTGAGTTCTGTTACATCATATCACAGTTCATGGCTTCTTGTTATCTGGAGAGATAAGGACAGCTGCTACACTATCACAGTGCATATTACAGCTCTATAGGACACACTCCAGAAAGCCTTGTCTGGAGGTCTGAGACAGCTCTGGAAGTGAATAGGCATGGGCTGGTATAAGATTCTGACAGCATGATAACCTTGGATAAAAATATCAGGTTTTCACAGTGTCGCGGCAATTATTGCTCTGAAATAAGTTCTTTTTAAATGTCTGAGGTAAAAAACTAAAACTTTTCCTCTTTGAGCACAGTGTTTTATTTTGAGAAACATTTAAAGTATTTTGCAGCAGTGAACATGTCAGGCTGAATAATTCAGATGAGTTATTGACTTCTGCTGTCTTCATTAGTTTCTGAAACACTGATTACTTTACTATTTAAATCAACATCTGTAGATATCTTTTCTGCTGGAGATACTGCTGTCCTAAAAAACAAACAAAAAATAAATATAAAAATCCTACACACACCTTAGGAACGGTATTGCAGAAAATTGTGGTGGTTTAAAAACCTTGACTTTTCCAAACCGCGGTATACCTTGAGAGCGGTTGTCGATTATCGTCCCATGCCTAGAAGTGATACGCTTAAACATGGACAAGAAGAACAGAATGATTTACCTTATTTCTGTCTGCTTTTGTGTTTGTTGTTTGTATACTTCATTGTCCCTCAAGGGGAAAGTTTCTGTAGACTCACACAGCACTTCAGCAGGTTCTGACACAATAACAATTTGAAAAATAAGCCAACATGCAAAAATTACACACACTATCGTTCAGTGTTCAATCGTCTGATTAACACTGGAATAAAAGAGTTCTAAAGCCTCTTCCTTTTCCAGCGGAAAGTTCTGTATCTTCTTCAGAAGGTAAAAGATTGTAAAATGGGAAGAGTACATGCGATGGGTTCTTTAAAACTCTTTTGGCTTCATTCAGAGAGCATTGCTCGTAGAGTGTTTGTATATAGAAAAAGTTTCAGATGCTATTAGTTTTAGAGCAGTTCTGATAATATTAAAAAAATTGATTTCAGATTTACAGAAAGATTGCCATACCATGTAGATAGACCATACCTGATAACACTTTCAAACACAGCTTGATAAAATAAGTACATGATTTTCTTATCAACACCATAAAACCACAACCTTCGTAGAAAATACAGTCTTTGGTGAAGCTTTTCACAGATCCAGTTTCCGTAAGTGTCCCATGTTAGAGACCGGTCTATGTGAATTCCCAAATACTCGTATGACTGTACCTGAGTGCACTGCAAAAAAGGCTTTTCTTACTTAAACTGTTTGTCTTGTTTCTAGTCCAAATATCTAAAAGTTCTCAAATCAAGAGGCATTTTCTAGACAAGCAAAACATATTGTCTTGTTTTAAGAAATAATCTGCCAAAATGAAGCCAGTTTTTGTTTAAATCAAGTTAAATTATCTGCCAATGGGGTGAGCAAAATAATCTTGTTTTTGGATTTGTGATAAGATTATTTTGCTCACCCCATTTGCAGATTATTTAGCTTGATTTAAGGGAAAACTCACTTCATTTTGGCATATTATTTCTTAAAACAAGACAATATGTTTTGCTTGTCTAGAAAATGCTTCAGGATTTAAAAAATTGTAGATATTTGGACTAGAAACAAGACAAAAAATCTAAGAAAAGCATTTTTTTGCAGTGTGATTTCTTGATTATGTACAAACACTGGTAAATGCTCGACAACACACTCGGGATCAAAGATCATTTCCTTTGGTTTTGTTTTTTTTTTGTATTTACTTTTAAAAAGTTTTCTTCACACCACTCAACAAATGATTAAATTTCAGAAAAACAGACAGAAACAGGATCTTGTTTGTTCAGCAAACTTAAAATTACTGTATCGTCTGAATATTTAAAAATAAGATTCTGTGAGTGTCTGCTTATGCTGCTCATTAGTATGTAGAGTTAATAAAAGTGATGCGCTCACACAACCCTGAGGGACACCAGCACTACTATATTCAACTTGAGACAGGCTATTATTTACTTTGACTGCCTGAGTTCCATTAGTTAACACAGATTGATACCATTCAATAGTTGTAGTTTACTCCTAACTTTTTTAGTTTTCTAGTTAAAACATGTTTACCTGTGTCCAAGGGTGTGTGTCCACCAATCGCTGACTGTTTCTTTCTTCTGTTGTTGTCAATGTAAGCACTGCGTTTTTAACCTTAAACTTGACCTGAACCTGACCAGCTCATGACCAACAAAACCCCGGCTTACACCAGTTCAAAACCCACCTGACCAGTTTACACTCTTCTTCTCCACAGGGTTTCTAACATGCATTGTATGTTGCTGTGTTTGTGTTTACATGACAAGTAAACATGCATCAAGTAAAATGTTGTCAGCAAGGACAGCACATTGCTAACACAAATTAGCCTTTTGCTTCCATGTTTGGCAATGCTAGCACCATTATCACGCTATCCGCTTATAGTATCCAGCATGTCCTGATCTAGTCAGTCAGTCTATTTTCTCAACCCGGAGCAGGTGTGTTGAAATTCCTCAACAATAACCTTCAGCAAACATGCTGACAGACGATCAGTCATGGGAAACGGTGACGCGAGCGCTGCTATCGGCCTTCAGATTTATGACTCTCAATGGGGCAAAGGTGGTGAACACAGAACAACAGAAACACTGTGGACAGACTGCTGATCTGTGAGCTACAGAGCCCAGACAGGTGAAAGACAGTCATGTCAACATTGATGAGCCCTGTCAGTATAGTGCAGTCGTGTACAGTGTAGTGAAACACCTCCAATATCTGAGAGATATCTGCCGCCAGAGCCTCCTCTCATCATGTGACTGATGGTCATGAATGCATCAGATGACTGTAGAAAACCACATGACTGAAGAATGCCAGAGGAGTGTGTCAGAGGAGAATAAAGGTGTGTGTGTGTACGTGTTTTTGTGACATATCAGGACACAAATCTGTATAATGACATGGGTGTGACACAGGTATTTCAGTAAGGGGGTGAAATGTGAAGACATTGGTGACGTCCTCATTTCTCAAAAAGCTTATAAATCCCACAGCATGAGTTTAATCAGAGAGTAAAGCTGCACACAGTCTGCTGTGATGGTTGGGTTTAGGGGTGGGGTGGGCTGAGGGCAATACAATATACAGTTTGGGCTGTATAAAATGAATGGAAACCTATGTAATGTCCCCACTTTTCACAAAAACAAACGTGTGTGTGTGTGTTCAGGTTCTTCGGTGCGTACAGTATGGATGTGGTGACCAGCACTGCGTTCAGCGTCGACATCGACTCCCTCAACAACCCCAAAGACCCATTCGTGACCAACATCAAGAAAATGCTGAAGTTTGACCTGCTGAACCCTCTCTTCCTGTTGATCGGTGAGCAGAACACACTCCGCCATATTGGAGCAGTCGAGCTTCTGTTATACACACACAGATAGAAAGCTTTCAGTAAAACACTCCTCAGCTGTGGAAGGCTGTCCTCTCTCCTCAGCAGTTTTGATGACTGCCGCTGTGTCTTCATAGATGAAGTTGATGTGGTCTTCCTTGATCATGTTCACATTACAAACATCATGTTTGGATCAGTTGTGTGAAAGTGTTCAAAAGCATCTTCCCAATTTCCTCTTCAGCTTTTTTCCCCTTCATGGCCCCCGTCCTGGAGAAGATGGATTTCGCCCTTTTCCCCACATCTGTGACCGATTTCTTCTACGCCGCCTTACAGAAGATCAAGTCCGACAGAGACACGAAGACAGTGGCCAAAGACAACACGAAGGTACGAATTAGACTTTCCATGGGGATCTCTGTAGTGATGATGCGTACAGTGGTGTAAACACGTCTGACTTCCTGCAGAAGAGAGTGGACTTCCTGCAGCTGATGGTTGATTCTCAGACTGGAGTGAAACACAAAAGTGATGGAGAGCACACGGAGAAAGGTGAAGCTAACTATAAAGCAACTACTGCCACCGTCTGTGAAGCCTGTTTTACCCACTTCACAACATGTAAAGTGAGTCTTTCAACTGTGAGTGTTCAGCTCAGAATCCCCATCAGATCATTCACTATTCCCTGCTCGACATGAACATGTCTGGCTCATGATAATATGCGCCTGTCAATCAATATCAGTGGGCGGGGAAAGCCGCTCTGCTACACTGTTTGTGGTGGACCTTAAAATCAATGGAGTTGTGTCTACTTTAATTGAGTAAATTGAGTTATTGTTGAGTTAGTAATTGAGGAATTGAGTTTAAGATTTCGGACATCTTCTTGGCCACTTGTAATGCTTCCACACAGTGTGCTGCCTGTGTAAATCACATGTGTTGAGCTGTTCTGATGATGCGGGTTACTCTGTGTGTGATCTGATTGGTCAGGAGTCACAGCACTGATCTCTCTAATAGACAGGTAATAATACAGTAGAGATGCAGGCTGAAGGACAGTAGTGGAGTAACAGCACAGATACTGCAGTAATCAAGGGGGAGTAAAAGTGCACATCTAGAACACTACTCAGTAAAGCACAACTGCTGAGAAACACTGCTCAATCACAGAGTGTTGCTGATGTGTTGCTGCACACTATACTGCACACACTTCTGTCCAAACCGCCTCCTCGAGCTGATTCTGCATGATAAGATCCTCTTTAATCATTGTCCCCCGCAGGTCTGAGTGACCACGAGATCTTGTCGCAGTCCATGATCTTCATCTTCGCCGGTTACGAGACCAGCAGCAGCACTCTGTCCTTCCTCTTCTACAATCTGGCAACCAACCCAGAGACCATGAAGAAACTGCAGGAGGAGATCGACGAGACCTTCCCCAACCAGGTACGGCAGAAGGAAGCCAATGAAAGTCTCTCCCTGATCGTGTTACTCAGCTGTTGACAGGTATGAAGCTTGTCAGAATCCCAGTATTAGTTCTTAACCCTGCTCCTGTGTTGAAGGCCCCGGTGGACTATGAAACCCTGATGAGCATGGACTACCTGGACGCAGCGCTGTCCGAGTCTCTGCGGCTGTACCCCGTCGCTGCCCGCCTTGAGCGCGTCTGCAAGAAGACAGTGGAGATCAACGGCCTCCTCATCCCCAAAGACTTGGTGGTCATGGTGCCGACCTACGCCCTCCACAGAGACCCCGATTACTGGAGCGAACCGGAGAGCTTCAAACCCGAGAGGTCAGGAGGGCCTTCGTTAACAGCTCATATACTAACAGCTCATGTTCAATGGTCTTGTTGACCGCTCGCAGAGCTAAAGTACAGGGGTTGGACACTGAAACCGAAGGTCTGGTGTTAGAGCACAGTAGTTGATCAGTGTGGTCCTCCTCAGTACAGCATTGGCTGGTGTTGGGAATGACAGACATGAGTCCTACGAATACTGACACACACACTGCCTAGAATAATTGACTCATTGGGTCACAAGGTCCTCCAGAATAGATGGGTAGTCCTTGGCAGTGGCCCAACGCCCATCTAGATGAGGTATTGAGCCCAAACCTTCACTGATCAAGTCTTGTGTTTGTCTCAGGTTCACTAAAGGCAATAAAGAGTCGATAGACCCCTACATGTACATGCCGTTCGGTCTGGGCCCCAGGAACTGCATCGGCATGCGTTTCGCTCAGGTGACCATGAAGCTGGCCATCGTGGAGATCCTGCAGAGGTTCGACGTCTCTGTGTGTGACGAGACACAGGTGAGGATCCGAACATGACATTTGAAAACACCACAGAGTCAGAGCGCAGGATATCATAGGTCAGCATCTTCAGTTTAATTTGTTAACGCAGTGCGGTTTAGTTCATATCAGAGTCCCTGAAAACCATACCAGAGTAAAAGTACAGATACCTTGCTGTAAAAATGACTCCATTACAAGTTACAAGTCACCAATTCCAATAAGAGTTGAGTAAAAGTATTAAAGTGTCCGATTTTAAAAGAACTTTATTATTTTACTCTTACTGAATGTAGACTTAAAGAAGACTGAGAAAGGTTTTATTTCCTAATATAGAAATTACATTGAACACCTCAGTGTTTCTATATGGCAGAACAAAATAGATTAAAACAAACAGAACAAAAAGTCTCAAACTCAAATGTTCGAAAAGGCACAAACAATTAAAAAAAAGAAGTAAAAAATGTAGTAAAAAAAAATCAGAGCTGACTTTCATGTGATTCACCTCACCGTCTCAAAGGGGGGCGATACTTTATTTTGAGTAGTTTCTAATTGATTAGGATGTTTTCTCTGTATTAATATTAAACAAAGAGGAGCAGTGTTATTTTTCCACTTAGAAAACTACATATAAATTCAATGAAAAATCCATCCCTCACAGCTAAGTACACAATGCAAAATGTATAATTTCAGTAAAACATTTATTCACGTTGCACAAAAAAAAATTAAGCTAAAACAGTCATGTCATGTCACAGAGGTTTTTGCCATTTCAGTAACTGTAATAAATTCACTTAATTCACATTAAATTACTGTTAAATAGACTCTTACTTCAATGTGTTTTCTCAATTTGTACGATAAATTCTTAAAAGCACTTATTTTCGTGGCAAACAAAGTAGACACTGCATCCTGTAAGAGCCATTCTGCATATCGGCAAACGAGAACATTTCTTTCAGATAAGGCCAGGGATGGTCATCAGTGCTGGCACTGCTTGATCTGTCGACTTCGGCTTCACGCACAATCACAATGTAATAAGTAACTATAAGCGTCCGTTCAAATGTAGTGGAGTAAAGAGTACATATATCCAATCAAAAATGTAGTCAAGTAGAGAGTAAAAGTTGCCTATATTTTTAATACTCAGTACAAGTAAAAAGCAGAAAAAAATACTTAAGTAAAGTAACAAAGTCCATTTACTCAAGTACTTTACACCACTGGTTCATATATATATATATATATATGTAATTTATTTATTTAGTGATCGTAGTTCATCAGAGCGACTAGAACACGTTCATTGTGGAGCACAGCACAGTTTAGTGTTTGCACAGCTTACATCCACTCTAGTGCAGACGTATTAGTAATAAAAATCAGTAGATAAATGTAGATAAACACGTTACATTTGTCAATTTAAAATAGTGTGAACATTTGATGTCTAAATAGATGTTTAATCTGTAAATGGCGCCATCTACTGTTCCCTCTTGAAAATCGCAGAAGATGAGTCTTACTTACTTATAGATCTTATTTTATGCAGATTAATGAAAGTGTGGCCGATAGTTTTCATTAACTGAAATAACCTTGGTCAAAGCAAATCCCAAAACATTTGCAGCCAATCAGCAGTAAGGGGCGTGTCTGGTAATACTACCAAGCAGGGGTCACCAATCTCGGTCCTGGAGGTCCGGTGTCCTGCAGGGTTGAGCTCCAACTTGCCTCAACACACCTGCCTGAGTGTTTGAAGTCTCCCTAGTAAGAGCTTGATCAGCTTGTTCAGGTGTGTTTGATCAGGGTTGGAGCTCAGATCTGCAGGACACCGGCCCTCCAGCAACACGTTTGGTGACCCCTGATATAAAGATATAGAAAGGGTGGAGCCTGGTG